TAATAATAAACAGATAATTTACAGGCTCTGTTAAAACACAGTGTTGAATGTTTGCTAAAATCTGCTGAAGAAGCTGAAACTAAGCTAATAAAGCGAAGCTAAATGCTAAAAGCTAAGTAGAGCAGGGTGCTAACTGAAAGTAAAACACCAGCTAAGAGTTTAAAGTAGCAAAATTTTGGCCACAAGCTAAAAGTATTAAAGTAAAAATATTAGCATAGCATTATTAGTTCTAGTATTAGCGTTAGCATGAGTAGAATTAGCATTAGGTACAAATACTATAAAATAGGCCTCAGAAAGTACATAAATACATGAAGAAAAACAGTTTAAATCTGTATTTTTTAATTATTGTGAGGTTTGAACTGACAGAAGCTCAAAATAGTGAATAAATATAAAAGTAAAAAGGAAATATTTATTAATTGTGGATAAATAAATCACAAACACAGAACCTGTTAAAGAACCTTTACACACTGTGTATTTTTGTGTTAAATTTGATCAGTTAAAAGTGGTCAAATGTGTCAAAAACAGTTGTTTATTTTATAATTTTTATAATTATAATTTTTAAGGAGACACCTGAAGGTTTCATGACTTGCATAATGTGTTTTACATAATATTTTTGTTTTTTTAGATGTGATTTCATCTTTAATGTGTTCACTGACTCAGWAAAAACACTCATGCAGTTTGTGAGGATGATGATGCTGCAGCTTCAGCACCAACTGGACCTGCAGGGAAATAACTGAGATCATGCTGCGTTCAGGACAGCTGGGAAATCTCAACGTTACATTTTGTGTTTATGTTTACCTATTTGTTAAAAATAAAATAAAAGACTAAAGTAATCAAATCTCCTTATTAATAACTCTAATATGGTTTTTCAGACCCAACTTCAAATGGAGTCGTTATTAAAAGTAAAAACATTTCTCACAGTTAACGTAGGCTATCTTTGTACGGTTACTACAACACAACATCAAACAAAGAAGTTTCATTTTACTTCGTTTATTTTCTCATTTATATTACTTTATATAACTTGATATATATGTACTGTTAAAAGACAAACAGTAGATCAAAAAAAAAGTTTTTCTTTTTGTTCCTTAAAATAAACATGACGTGATTTTGAGACGTGTTTTTTACTTCCGGGGCACTCGAACGCAGCAGCAGCTTTACCAGCCTGACTTAAACAAATGTCGGTGATTTAAACAGAAGCAGGAGGAAATACTTCACATCTGGACTTCACGGGTTACGATGATGTGATGAGGAGATTCAGTGACGTCTCATAGAACCGGAAAAAGGTCGAAACAAAGAAGGTAAAGTTTAAAAAACTGCCAATAACTAAGTTAATTGATATTAGCGGAAGCTAACTGCTAGCGGCTAGCGCGTTAGCAAGAAACAGGAAGTGGTAACAAATAGTAAAGAAGAGTTTACCTGGTTTTTTTTACACAACAGGTCGTGTTAACGGCTCGTTTCTGTCTGTTTGGATCATTTGTGACTTATTTACAGATAAAACAGTTTATTGTTGTCAGGATTCAGACACTTTTTAACTCAGCTGTTTGTTTACGTCAGAAGTTACACCGGGTTTTTATTAGTTTACAAAAACTGGTTCCAGTCCCAGATCTAGATGCTGGTTTAGGGTTTCATTCAGGTTCAGGTTCTGGATTTATAGAGTCCGACTGGATCTGGGCACTGCACAGTCTGACCTTCAGGTGCTGGGACGTCCTGTCCTGGGTTTGGATTTACTCACAAATAGAAGCAGACATGTGACATTAGAAAATTCTTTGGTTAAAATAAAAAAAAAAAAACAATTTCATGAATAGTTATTTTTTTAATCTAGAAAAAAGGAGT